TAGGGTTTAGGGTTTGAGGTTCAGGGTGTCCCGGTTGAGGGTTAGCATCATGGGGGTTCAGGGTGCCTCAAGCTTAGAAAACCCTGACCCTGAGGGTCCAAGCACTCAAAGAGCAGGGTTTGAAGTGCCAATAGCCATTCAGAATATGGAATTTGGGAACTGAATCCCTACTATTTGGCCCTAAACCCTGAACCCTAAACCTTAAACCCCAAAACCATAAACCTTAAACCCTGAAACCCTACTATTTGGGTACTAGGACCCTCTGGGTAACTCTAGCGTCGACTCCGGGCTTAAACCTAAAACCCTAAACCCTAAACCCTAAAGCCCTAAAACCTCCAGGCCTTTTCGGCCTTCTCCGCCTCCTCGATGAGGCTCCGCAGTAGCGCCACATCCCCTCTGGCATGGGCCTCATGCTTCGGGTTTCAGGGCCTTCGGACTTGGGGTGCACCACTTAAATTTAGGGTTTAGGGTTTGGGGGTTTAGGGATTGGTGGTTTAGGGGTTTAGGGTTTAGGGCTTAAGCCCTAAATCCTAAACCCTGAACCCTAAACCCTATTCGGGGGGCCTTAAAGTTGTGACTGTTGGGGTTTGGCTCACGACTGAGACCCTATTGGTCCTGGCATCTCCGTGGCTGGGTCCGGAACTGTCTCAGGAATGCTTGAGCACACCGTAGACCCTAAGCCCTAAACCCTAAACCCCTAACCCCTAAACCCTGAACCCCCAAACCCCTAAACCCTAGATCCTAAACCCTAAACCCCTAACCCTAAACCCTAAACAACTAAACCCTAAACCCCTAAAGGGGAGTCTTGGGTCAAGGCCATTTGCAACACTGAGGGTCCAAGTACCTGATCTTTGGAACCCGAAACCCTATACCCTTGGCATCAAATTAGCAGAAAAGCCTGAACAAAAATAGGGTCTTTGGGCCCAACAGCCTTAAAATATGAGTCCTTAGAGGGTAAGGGCTATAGTGGCACTTCAGTTTTAGGGTTTAGGGTTTAGGGTTGAGGGTTTAGGGTTTAGGTTTTCAGTGGCAGGACCTTGGGATATGATGTAGGGGCCTTAATAAGTAGAATAGGGTTTTGGGGTTCCTTTAAAGGGTTCCATAAAGGGTTCTATAAGGGCTACTACAAGCGTTTTGGGGTGTAGGGGACGTAATGATTAGAATAGGGTGTCCTTAAAGGGAACCTTAATAAAGGGCTCCTTGAAAGGGGTTCATAAGGGATCTACGATAAGAGGGTTCTGTAATGTACGGGCCTTCATAATTAGAATAGGGTTTTGGGGTATATTATACCATTATTTTAACAAGGAACCACCAAAGAGGTATAGGTAATTATTTAAGCCTCTATATTGAGGATCACTGGAAACTCTGTGCCCCACACCCGAAACTCGAAAACCCAGCAAAGCAAAGCCCCAAAACCTCAGGCTTTAAACCTGTTTGGGCATGCACCACCTCAGAAGTCAGTAGCCTCATAATATGCGTCTATAGGCCCGTTGAGGCTGGTTTGGGCTCTTGCCTGGGATATGAAAAGAGAGGGATAACGCTCAGCGTGTAGGGAAGGCATGTCCTAGGCAAGGGCTCTCGCTGCGCTGATCGTGCCTCGTTGTCGTTGCTGATCTACATCCGCAGCTTCGAACAAGCCCTAAACCCTAAACTCAGTGTAAAAAACGGCAAACACTCACTCGACCCCACTTGCCTCCGCAGCGCGTGACGCGAAGGCCGCGTCGCCTGGTGTGACAGTTCATTTGAGGAGATTCAGCAGCCTAACAGAGGGGCCTTATAATTAGAATAGGGTTTGGGGGCCCATTGTACTATAACTGTAATAAGGATCCCCCCAAAAGGTATTAGTAATTTTTTCGGCCACTACATTACTTTAAAGGGGTTGCCTCAACCACAAGAAATCATAATAAGGAACCCTACAAGTTGTTGGGGCTACCGGTAGGGCTTCTTTATCGTAAGGGGTGCTTTGTGCGAAAGTCCGTCGTCATACGACTGGAATTGGGGTGTAGGGTTTGGGGTTTAGTCGGTTGCAGCAGTTGCTTGCATTCTTGTTATGTGGTAGCTGTACTGCTTCTGGTATTTCTTCGCTGCAGGAGGCAGGAGGTCTTACTGAGGAGCAACCCCCCCCAAGAGACCAGCGTTTCCCGGAAGGAAGTAAGCCCGACGGCTCACAAGATGACACACGAAACCCTAAACCCTAAATGCTATTATATGATGGGTCTTAAAAAATGTTCTACACCTAACCCTAAACCCTATTCTGTGTTGGTTTATTGAAATATTCTACATACGGACTCTATATCGGGTTCCATCTTGGCTCGGAGATGAGGGTTCTTTGAGGGATCTGGACTCGCTAGTTGAGGGGCCTTGATAACTAGAACATGACTTGGGGTATATTGTCGCATAAGTCTGTTGAGAAACCGTGAGGAACAGTGTTGGTAATTATGTAATGTAGTGGCCTTAATAGTTAGAATAGGGTTGTTGGGGGTTCCCTTTTTAAGGTCATACTCTCTATATATATATATATAATATACACACACACACCCCAAAACCCTATTCTAATTATTAAGGCCCTCTTGTATTGAAGGTTATATCATGTCTTAGGGGTCGTCTGAGAAGTCGTCGTCGTTGATGCTCGGTGTGCGAGTTCTCCGCCCGGGGTTTAGTGAAGACCGAAAGTAATCAAGATAACTTTAAGTTAGTGTTTAGGGTTTAGGGTTTAGGGCTTAGGGCTTAGGATTCAGGGTTTAGGGTTTAGGGTGTAGGGTTTAGTGAAGACCGAAAGTAAAAAAAGATAATTGTCTGGTGCTTAGTAGGGAATGGGGGAATGGATCCCTATGATAGTCCCTTAAGGTGCCTTATAGTGTTCCCTACAAAGCACCAGACAGATAACTCTAGGTTAGTGTTCAGCACTTATAGGATTAAGACAAAGGATTAAAACAAGAAAGCGAAGGAATCCCCCAAGGTCATCTGCTTTCTGAGGGTGCATCAATATCTGGAGAATCCAACACCACTGATTAAGGACAAAGTGACTCTCAATAATATTAAGGATCACTCTGCAATTCAAGGATTATTAGTCAGTGTCTCTTCCTGAACTGAAGGGTTGTGGGGTCTCTGGGTGCTTGAAGGAGTGTTTTGGGGTGTTGCGAGACTGCCGGCTGGTTTTAGGGTTTAGGGTTTAGGGTTTAGGGTTTAGGGTTTACGGTTTAGACAAGTCACCCTCCATGCGCCGCAGACGACTGGCCTCCACGCAGACGGTTGAGGATTCACCAGAACCCTGCGAACAACCTCCATTTGTATGGCCCCTCAGTATGATAAACCTATGAAAGTCGTTGAAGAGACAGATCTTTTAGGGTCCAAACTGAATTTAACGTTGTTTCGGGCAGAACCCATCTTAAACGAAACACCTTCCGGGTTCAACTGCTACAAATCTGCACACGGCTCTGAAAGTATCTGCACACCACCTTAAGCTCTCTTATGGCTTTTTTGGGATCATATCATACCCTACTACAGAACCGAAAGGCACACTTTTTTAGCCTTCTGAACTCAGCAACTAAGCCTCCCCATTTCCAGGTTGTAAATCCTGGACGCTACACCCCAAACCCTAGAACATGCAAGACCTACAGCCCACGCCCGAATGCCCCGACCCCCTAACTGCAACACCTCAATCCCTACTTGGAGGATCATGGGACTTAGTAAGTAGGGTTATAAGTGCCTTAATTGGGGTTATAAGTATTTATAAGTAAAGTTACCTCAATTATAATACTAGTTACTAAGTCCCATGATCGGTTAAGTATACCCCCTATATACACGGTTTCGGGTTAAGGATTTGGGTTTGAGGTTTAGACACCCGCCAACCCTCGCTAGTGACTAGTGACTAGTGGACTCGCTAACAAAAACTTGCTGTTGCGGTAAACCTTTGGGTATCAAGCCCCGAACTTCAATCCTAAAGACCAGATACGGAGTCTCAACCAGCAACACACAAGTAAGCCCCATCTGCAAGATCGGCTTTTTTTCCGTCCGGTCGCCAGGTCAGCAGGACGAGGGTTCTGAGCTGCCGGGATCTGAGGTTGAGCCTCTCGGATATACGGTTGATGGTATAAATCCTGCATTACCCATAATCAGGAATATACCATAATTTCCCATAGTTTAGGGTCCTTGAAGGGAATGCAGGATGTATATCATCAACAGTAGTAGTATAGTAGGGTTCCAGTATTAGGAATCACAGTTACCCCATAACGGTACCTAGCACTCTTTGAAGATCCTAAGCTCCACACTCCACTGTGAGGTGTTCCGTAGTTAAGGATGGTAGTTTTTTAGACAAATATATATATATATATATATTTATTTATTTATTTATTTATAAGAGTTTATGCTTTTGAACCCTTTCGATGAGGGCTGAGGGTGCCGCTGGGTTTCGGTGGGCAGCGCGCATGCGCATCTCTTCAGACCCCGCAACATGCCATGAGTTGCAAACTATGGCCCACAGAGCACGCATGCCGTGCGCCAGGGACTGAGTTTAGACAACTAATTATGCTTCCGTCCGCAGCTTCTTACACGTACACAACCTGTGGCCTAAGTATGTGCCATGTCGTGAACTTTCGCATAAACCCTATCCTCTACAGGGGTTTAGGCATTAGGGATTAGGGGGTTAGGGGATTAGGGATTAGGGGTCATGGGGTTAGGGTTTAGAGATTTTCGGGTTAGGGGTTATCGTATGGTCGGTTGTCTTGCACCCTAACCCCTAGACCCTCATAATATAGGGGCCTTGATAATTAGAATAGGGTTTGGGGGTATACTATACTATAACTAGTCTAAGGAACCCCCCC